TCGGATAACGCGCATCTATGAACTCTGCCTTACTATTTTGCCATGGGAAATTTGTACCAAGTTTCATGAAGATATTTGAATTTTTACTCAAGTTCCAGCTTGCAAGGACGAGCAGACGGACGGTCAGACCGACTGTCAACCGGATTTCAACTTTTCTCGTTATCCTAATTATTTATATATAATTAACCCTATATCTATCTTGCTTAGTTTTAGGCAAACAAAGCTATTATAACCATGATAAGTTTTAAAAATTTTCTAATGACTTCATTTAGAAGGTTCAGTTTAAATGACAGCTATTTGCTATAGTATTTCCATCAAAACAATTTCTTCTAATATTATAGTAGAATTGCCTTTGATAGTAATTCACGCTAAATTTCGTGAAGGTATCTTTCTAAATAAAATAGTTTTCCATACAAGAACTTAATTTTTATCGGCCAGTTTGTAATCCAGTGCTCCGATATTGGAAGTTCCGACAATTGAGAGGGAGCAGTCGGTGTTATTTCATGCTGGTAAAATTTTAATCCAGTTTCTTTAAGAAATGTTAAGTATGTATCTTTATCACAGGGGTCTGAAAGTTTGAATATAAAATGAATTTGATTACCAGAATCCCCGGTCGTAGGAGAGGAGACGAGTTGGCTAATTTAGGAGCCTCCATAGAACAATTCAAGGCAGAGATATTACCGTGTTCGTCAAGAAATATCAAGAGAGAGCTCAATATGCAATTTAAGCAAATAGCGCAAAGTAAATGGAATTTACAACCAAATGTAGGACAGCGAAACAGAAATTACACAATTATGACAAGACAAAACCTAAAGACTTATTAGATTGGAGAACATGCGTTAAAAGTGGCTATGTTCTATAACAGCACTTGCCATAGCTACAAACTCGAAGGGAACCAGAGAACTATTCTTCACTTCCACTGTGAGTACCTAGCTCTATCACAATCAGACATCGAACTTTAGGAAATCATTACTTTAGAAAATGGTTTGAGCTCAACTAAAGAATGTGATATCACGATATAATATCTAACGATAGTGTGGCAAAATGACGCTTCCCGTGCTAATTGGGCCCGAAGGCGCAGCCATCTTACCTACCTACCTACTGGAACCCTCTTCCATGTGGATTAACAGCAAAATTTTACAACCATAATACGCTCGAAACTATCTCTTTTTAAGGAAAGTCACGCCTAGAAATTACTTTTTTAACATTAATTAATAACAGGGAACGAATGAGTGTCAGTGCTCCGTAGAACCTGTGCTGTATGTGCTACGTGACGTTCATTATCACTCACAAGTATTTATGTATAAACATATACTAGTATAATATAATTACCCACCTGAAGAGCAAGGAAGCGGCAGAGGCCGATGGATTACAATTCAAATATGGCGGCGAAGAATTGACAAACTGCATGTATCAGCTTCTTTGTAAGATATGGTCGAATGAAAGGATGCTCGACGATTGGAACCAAAATGTGCTCCACGAAATCCACAAAATGGGAGACCCTACAACCTGCGCCAATTATCTTGGGATTAGCCTCCTTAATATCGCAAATCTTATCGAGAGTAGGGAAAGATCTCTCCAATCCGATCGATACCAATTTCGTCTATCTTCGAACCAGCGTTAGCATCAACAACAATGTCAACTTCGAAATCCAACGCAGAATAACTCTTGTCAGATGCGACTTCGGGCTGAGTAGGCAATTGAGAAATAAAGTCCTCTCTCGATCCAAGATCAAACTTTACAACTCCTTCATCATTTCCGAGGCATGCACGATGATATCATGGTGGAAGAGTACGTTCCAGCTTTGAAGATTTTCGATTCAGTATTCGCTGGTAAAAGCGGAGAAAGAGAAAGACTTCCATTCCGGTGGAGAACGACCTGCACTCGGTATCTCGAACTGGCGACAAATAGCGAGAAGGAGAAACGACTGGTGCGCTGTTCTTAACTCGGATATAACCGCGTAAGCGGAGTCTACGCCAGTAAAGAAGATAAAGGCGTATGTATATATGTATGTATGTCGGTAGTATGTAATAGGAAAATATCGGAATTCAATGGCAGTATTATTTACATACGGTATTTATTAATAGAATATCGCTTTAAATGCTTGCACACTTTAACACTGTACGTCATGGCGTATACGCAACATTCTGTCCAACGTACTTGTATTTATTTTTTTGTGCTTAAATAAAAAAGACGTTAAAACTAAGAGTTTTGCAACCTTAAATTACACTGGTAGACACATAATTTGTGACATGAAAATTCTTAGGGGTTTCTAATGCAGTCTGATACCCTAAAGTAAAATCTGAAAACCGATCCGATAGATATTCTGTAACCTGCGGCTTTAGATTTTACAATATTTTATATATATAATTATGTTATTAATTTATAATTCGCATGTTTATCGAATCGGTAAATTTTTTTTTCTGTAAGTTGGTAGTACTGTTACTGATATTTATGATAAGTTTCAGAACAAAGTATTAATTAGTATTTGAGATACGCGTCGTTTTGTGAGGCTCTAAACGTGAATTCTTCGATTTTTACCATGTCTGAATTTAGTGAACAAAGAAGTGCGATAATGCACCATCTCATACTGCCTTGGTTATTCGTGAGCATTTCGCTACATTTTCAACTAATATTGTGCCCCAACCCCCACATTCGCCTGATTTACCTTCGTGCAACTTCTGGCTATTCAGCAAATTCACATGACCACTCCGAGCAATGGCCAGTACGTCAGGCACTCACTCAGGGACAAAAAAAACGTTACCAGTGAACCTCTAGTTGATACCAAAAAGGTATTACTACCGCCTTTGCATATTAAATTGGGTTTAATGAAGAATTTTGTTAAGGCAATGGACAGAAATGGAAGAGGGTTCTTGTATCTGAAACAAAAATTTCCATAAGTGAGTGAAGCAAAAATTAAGGAGGGCATATTTTTGGGTCTGCGAATCAGAGAACTAATGAAAAATTAATCATTTGAGGAAATGCTCAATGAAACTGTAATACGAGCCTGGAGTGCATTTAAAAGCGTTCTTAAAAATTTTCTTGGAAATCTGAGAGCTGACAATTACAAATATCTTGTGACGGAACTACTTACTGCATATATAAAAAAAATGGGTCTGTCCCTTAAATTCACTTTCCGTAAGTGACGAACATGTGGATCTTTATGATTTTGTTATTAATTTAAGAAATGTTTAACTTGAAGCTATAGTTTAATTTTTTATACATATTTCAACATTTAATTTACAGCATAAAATCAATGCGGTGTTTGCTCATTTTGCTAAATTTTACTATTATTTATTCTGGTTTCACAGGAATTTTGTAGTTTATGTTAAGGAGTGCTTAGTCGGTTAATCTTTTCTGAAGCATCGTTGTTCTGAGCCAAATTTTGATTCGGCTCAAAGAAGAAAATGATAGTTCAGCGCCAGAATTTGTGGCTGCAGAGTATGTAAAGGATAATATGAATCGACGGATGTATATCCTTATCTCAGTATTTTTCTAAGCAAAAAAGCGCTTGTGTTCTCGTAGTCATTTTCATTTTCCAAGGTGGTTAAAAAAGCGCTACTTCCGCTTTGAGCTTCATTTTTTGCAGTTCTTTGTTTCCGGGCAAAATTTTCCCAAAACGTCTAATTAGGCATTCAGTGACTACAGTTAAATTCTATTCTTCCAAATTTAGGTTACATTTTGGTAACAGCTGACGCAAATTGAAGCTTTCAAGAACTTCCGTGTCATTGAATGTATGCAGAAACCCACTTTGAGGTGGGTGATTGTTTCGATGACTCTGACGACCACATGTTATGGGGTTTTCCACTTCAACAAGTCTCCATTTACAGTACATTTTTGCTATCTTCTGCTACAGTCATTACCCTTTGGCCTTTTTAAAAGTGTCCTGATTATAGTTATAATCAGTATATGTACTTACTTACCAAAAAACATAACAACAAAACGCCGTCTTCTCCGAAAAATCTAGTATTTTTCTTTTGTAAAACAAAAAAAATACTATTTTATTAACAAGTTATGTTAACATTGTACTTATGTCACCGTATAAAGTTGATTACGTCTAGTCAACTTGAACTGTACTTAAAGCTTCGTGCATAAATATACAAGAGTATGATAGCTTGTCATTCATGACTGTAATGTTTACCATTTTATAAAGTGGCACTTATATGCTCCAGATTAAAAACTATAAGAAGATTTGGAGAAGTGTCCTCAATTTGAAAAGCAAGCATTTTTATTAAGTTTCGTGTTCAAATGAACGGACACGTAGTCCATTTCCAGACCCTTAATGACATACATTTATTAAAATATTTTTTTTTTTACCTAATACGCATAAATATATGCATATACAGTATAATCGCGCAAAAGTTAACTCGCGAGAAAGTTAAACCTTCGGCTAAGTTTACCGATTTTGAGCGTCCACGTTCTGCTCTAAAAAGTTAACTTTGGGTTTGGGTTAACTTTGGGTTAACTTTTTTAAGCTTTTCTATTTTTTCAAACCCAACCGTTTGTTTCGCAAGAAAAACAAGTTCGGGTATTCCCATCATTTCTATGTATTCCCCGAATTTCTATGTAAAAAATTATGGTCGGTGTCGCGAGGTACATAGATACGTAGTGTGTCATGAGCGTTTAAACTTGCGTGTTGTTTATGGTTAGTGTGTTAAAAAATGCAAACAAAGCAGAGAAAATCATTGCAAATCAAATAAAATTTGCATCAAAAAGCTGAGATTTTAAGAAAACTCGATGAAGGTATTCATGGAAACCGATTGGCGTTGGATTATAATGTATCTAAGGCGGCCATCTCAAAAATAAAGAAAACACGTCATGAAATTTTGGAGGCAAGGGCAAACACACATGAAGTTACAACTAAGAAAACTTTACATAAATCGGAATATCCCGTTCGTGAGGCAAGGTTGTATAAATGGTTCTTAAGCCAAAGACAGCGTAATTGAGTGGTCCAATTTTAAAGGCAAGAGCCAAGCTCGAATTTGCCAAATTGCACACAGGAAAACAATTTCACGCAAGTGATGGATGGCTTGCAATTTTCAAGAAAAGATTCGGTATTTGCCACTTAAAAATTTGTGGGGAAATCCTCTCAAGCGACAAGACAGGAATATCACCGTTCATTCATAATTTGCGGGAAAAAATTAATGTAATGGAAATTTCGGACATGCAGCTTTATAACGCAGATGAATCTGGATTATTTTATCGTTTCCTGCCCGATAAAACATTTGTCGCGGCAAACAAAAAGATGGCACCTGGCCGAAAAATAGCAAAGGATAGAATCACATTTATGTTGTGTGCGAACGCAGATGGTTCGCATAAGTTGAAACCATTGATAATTGGTAAATCCGCAAACCCCCGTTGCTTCAAAGGGTTTGAAAACCCATTGGAATATGCTAACTCGCAAAAGTCTTGGATGAATTCAGAGCTATTCTTCCGCTGGTTCCATCATTCCTTTATTAAGCAGGTAAATTTATTTTTTTTATCCTTTAAAAGTTTTAAGTGTGCCAAAATATTTGTCAGGTTCGCAAATTTTCTGCTGAAAATAATTTACCACCAAGGGCATTATTGCTGATTGACAACTGTACTGCACATAAGCCAATTGACAAGTTACAGTCAGATGATGGAAACATTGCAGCAATGCTTTTACCACCTAACGTGACAACTGTTTTGCAGCCCATGGTTCAAAATCCCATAAAACTGGTCAAGTTAGAATACCGGGCTAAACTGTTATGGAACATTGTAGCACAAGAAAACATTCCGGTTGAAAATATTTTTAAAGGACATTCAATTCGTGATGCCATCTTGCTGCTTAAATTAGCATGGGATGAATTGCCAAGAGCTGTGCTTATAAAAGCTTGGAAAAATATAAAACAGTGGGCCGATGATCAATACGACAGCGAAGACGAAACTCCATTGCTTATATTGATTAGATCAAATAGTTCTCACGATGATACACTTCGACAGGTACAATCGTTATTGTCCAAGGTGGGTGGTGTTGACGTCAGCAGTGAAGACATCGCAAATTGGAACGACGATCAAAATACGGAAGATGATGAAGATTTCGAAGTGTCTGACAATGAAAATGAAGAACCAGTTGTCGAGGAAGATATGCAACAACAGAAAGTCAGTTTTTCCGAAGCAGTTGAAGGCATCATCAATACCTTGATAAAGTGGTATGAAAACAAAAATGATGCAAATCAGATATCACATCTTATTAATATGCGTACGAAAATTGTCAGCAGCTATTACACAAAAGAAAAGAAACAAACAAGTCTCGACCACTTCTTTGAACCAGCCCATACAAATTAATATGTACATATGTATGTATGTATAATGTGAAAAAGTACAAACTAAATCTAAATTTATGTTTTGTTAAGAGTGAAAGTCAGTCATGCAAATAAATTGAACGTATTATATCACCAAAATTATGTTTATTTCCGTGTTTTTTTTTTCAAAATCGAAACACCTTGGGACATTTTGGTTCACTTTTTCGCGATTCTACTGTATTTATTTATATATAGTTATGATCAGAATAATAGAGTTACATTTTGGAAGTGAAAATGACGTTAAACTCATTGAAAATCTTAAACGGGAACCACTCCTCAATTGCCTACTCAGTCCGAAGCAGGACCGGCTGTAAAGAGTTATTCTGCGTTGGACTTCGAGACTGGTGTTGTTGTCGGTAATATTGCTGGTTCCAAAACAAATGAAATTATCTACAAGTTCGAAGTTATGACTGCCAACAGTGACGTGAGAGCCAAGTCGCGAGTGCGACGACTGTTTCTGTGAGGACAGGAGATATTTGGTGTGCCCCCGTTCACTACCAGACCCATTTGCTTCGCTTCTTTGTTCAACCTGGAGAAAACTGAACTAATTCGTGGTTATTATAATAATAATCATCGGCGTACGCCAACAGTTGTATACTCTTGCAGAAGATTGTAGCTTCTCTTTTTAAATCTGCAGCTCGAATTATTTTCGCCAGGAGTAGATTGAAGTCGCACAGTAGAAAGTCGCCTTGTCTGAAACCTCGTTTGGTATCGAACGGCTTGGAGAGGTCCTTCTCGATCCTGACGGAACTTTTGGTATTGCTCAACGTTGGTTTACACAGCCGTATTAGTTTTGAGGGGATACCAAATGCAGACATAGCAGCAGGTCCTTTTATTTCTGTCAAGATTTCTTTGAAATCGGCGAAGAGGTGGTGTGTGTCGATCCTCTCTCTACAGGTCTTATAGCAAATTTTTTCGACAAAACATCCAATTCTGGCACTTTTTGGAAAAAGTCATACTAATAAAGAGGAAAGTAGATTTTGGTTTTCAAACTCAAATTCAGATTTAAAAAACAACGAATGCAATGTATTATTTAAATTCAATTTGTTTGTTTGTATACATAAATAAAATATGAATAAATATATTTACAACATTTTTTACTACATAACCTAGTCTAACGAAAAAATTCTGCAAATCTAGGATTAACCCATAAACGAAGGTCAATATTGATTACCCAATTACCAATTTACCGCCAGCAGAGATTATGGCTCACGCGTGACATTTGTTGCACATTGTCAAACGCCACACAGCTGATTTTCTGTGACAACATTTGAAGATATGGAAATTGTGGAAGTATTTCCAAATAATCTCCAATGTCCCAAAAGTTTGTGCAATTTGTTAAGAAATGAATTTGAAGGGGAATACGCTCACAGGACACAGCGAACTCCATTGAAAGTCACCCCTAAAAAATCACTTCCATTATTCCAGTGCAAACGACACCAACAAAAGGGGAAGCAACAACGCGGTGTTTGAGCAATGGTGGCTATTTGATTTTCATGCCTTGCAAACACATGTGTCAGAGCGAGTAAGCTATATGCACACGGGAATGCACGAAGCCACACCTTCGATAATAATAGCAAAGCAGCGACGTAAAGGCGGAGTCAGCGGCGAGCAGAGCAGCGCCTTTCAACTCAAAGCGGATGAGGTTTCTTTGGACTTTCTTATTCTTTCTTGTCGCTTCAAATGTGTTTCCATTTTTTATTTGCGTGCGCAGCAAAGGACGGACGGCGCTCGGCGAATGGCAGCGCGAAAGAGCGACAACAACAAAAACAGCAACTTGAATATGAACTAACAGAGCAAAGTGCAGGTTGAAAATGAGTGCGTGGTATTTTTCCTTGCCGCCGAAATGACATACTCACACACCGATTATTATTTTGATTGCAACGCTGAATCTATGTGTGTATGAGCGTGTTTGGATGCGTGCTGAGCACATACAAAATGTCTGTAAAATTTTTGCACAAACACGTGCAACGCATAAATTGAGCGGCGTACACACCATTTCGCTATCCTGACGTGCTACAATCTGTTGTTTTTATTGCTGTTATTGCATGTTTTTTTTGGTGTTTTTTTGCTCCAGCAGCTAGGCAGCGCGGACTTTTATCATATTTTGCTACATGCTTTCGACTCTATTCTGGCCCCTCATGGCAAACAGCGCGCTGTGCTCGACTCAAGCCAAAATAAAATGAAATGCAAAGGAAAGTATAAGCAAAAAGTTTTCATTTTGTGCCGGCAACCACGTCGCAAACGAGTAAAGTGCCCCAATTGCAACGGCGTACAGCCGCAGCCGTAGCCACTTAATTTGTTTGCACTGCAACACGTTGCGGTCCTGCTACTTTACCTACGCCAACGGCCATAAGTCCACACGGTGGCTGCTCCAATCACCCCACACACATACACACACTCACACTGCAGCTTACCCGCTGCATCCGCGTCTTTTTGGTGCCTCATCAGTAATGCTCCTTTTGTGCTGCGGGGGATTTTTTTCTTGTTAGCGCATCTGATTCACTTTTTCAGCTAGTTGTTGTTGTTGTTGGCGTCTGTGGTATGCGATACGCTGCGCTAGGTCCACCATATGTATGCGACAGCTCTTACAAGTACTTTACGGTAATGGGGGATTTTCGCTTGAGCATCCTCTAACAAAAATTAATTTAAATCGATATTGAGTAGCGATTTTTTCTCGTCCTTTGTCATTGTTTGTTTTGCGCGTTTTCCTGCATTTTTCTGCTTTCGTTTTCTTCTTTTTTTATTTGCAGTATTTTAAGCGTATACTTCGGGATGGAGCGTCTGCTGTCGCTAAACGTATATGATGTTAGTGACGCACCGTAAAAGTCTATTAATTAGCTTGTAGAAGTACACAGCGTATTAAAAAAAACGAAACACACACACACTTACGTTCATAAACTTGCACAGGTTTGCGCTGAATCCTTTGCCCAGCATAAAGTTGTAAATATATTTTCATTCACATGTGTTTGTAAGTATATATTTTAAAAGATGTATGCGTAGTAGTTTCAGTTGGGTTGTAAACGTTTTTAGTTGATAGATAATTGCATAGAAGATCAAACATGTAATTAATTGCGCTTCAACTTGTTATACAAACATCATTCAATATATTGGCTGAACATGCAAGTATTTGAAGTAAAAAGTTGCCACTGCAATGAAGTGCATCTGGTACTTCATGATACTTTAAATTTTTTTGTTATATAAAAGGTAAATAAATGATAGCGCTTTGAAGTGTTTGAACTGCTTTTCAATAGTTTTCGTAAAAATGAAGATGAAAATTCAAATATATTAGATATATAAATAATTGTATTGGAGTATACTTGTATAAATATGTATATACATATTTGAATTTTCATATTTATTTCATATATATATATATATATATACGTATTTATATAAATATATTTGCACTTCTAACTCCTATATAAAAAGATTCTTATATAATATACATAGTAAATACTCAACAGCGCATTATACCATGAATTTATTATTATGAACTTTTATTGACATTTCGCTTAGGTCAGGTTACTTGACTACTTAAAGGGGCATTTTACCCGAGAATTTTGAGAAACCCGATATTTGTTCATATATTTAAAGAATTAAGAACATATCCTAGAAAGGATTTTTTAAAATTAAAATTATTTTAAGTGCTACAGTTACTTTAGTGACTCAGTATCTAGCCCGGTAGGCAGGTAGACTCACTTTTTTAAACGCGTTTTTCTCGAAACTACTTTTTTCCACACCGTACCGGCATTATCTCAAGTTCTATAAAACCGATTTACTTGAAATTTTGTATGAACCTTCTTTATATAATCCCCTATACTTTCTCTTTATATAATCCTTAATTCTTTGTTATTAATATTTTTAAAAAAAATTCAGGAATTTCAAAAAAAAGCGTAAAAAATTATTTTTATTTTCTCGCAGTCACCATTTTTCCAAAAAAAAAAAAATTTTTTTCGTGTTCCCTGGAATAGGCACTATAACAGTATCCTTACTGGTTAAGAATTTCTTTTGATTTTTTGTTTCAGACCACCAGGAGAGTCAGGATCAATGTCACCAGGATGCGCCATTTTTTATTACACCTGTCTCTCCATTATTTTAATTTTTAATATTTTTTTCTAAAATTTTTTTTCTGTATTCTTAAGATATCAATAAAAACACCATAAAAATGGATAGTAAAAATATTTTTGGTGTTTTTTCTTTGTTTTTTAATAATGAATATTAGCAAGCAAGAAAAAATGCCAGCACCTAGGCTCTAATACTCTTCGCAGCCGCATTTCATGTAGCAATCATATTTGTATGTATACTAAATCCGAAAACCTAATTGGCATACGGCTTCCATCCAACGGTAAATGTTTTGCTGGTTCTCAAAGTGGTTAGTTAGATATGAACAATCTTCAAGTCGAATTAAGGTTACTTAATAAGGAAGGAATATATTTTTTTAAGATCAATTTATTAAGATCTTGTGGAAAAATTAGACAAGGAGTAGATCGATCTGTTTCATCAGTTCCATTAAATTAGTACCTTCTAGGGGAAAGAAGAGCGTGTTCAAAATTTCAGACATCCCAAAACCTAAAAGATTAGTTCGCATAAAGACATCGAAAAGACATGGCGAAATCGACTCAGGTCGACACCCTGAGATTTTTCTATTTATTTTATTGGGTTTCCGACATTTCTTTCTAGATGGTACAAACTTAATATATTCTGTTCAGGATATAAATATGCTTAAGGCCATTTTAAGAACTGTTTTGGGAACGAATGCGGGAAAAATATTAACACATGAATTCAATTTTCCAAATTATATTTTCCGAAATATATTTTTCAATGTACTTTAAATGGTTGGCTTCTTATGTGCCATTTTCAAAATGATAAGTAACCACAAAAGTGGTAAATCAAAAATAGTCTTTTCCTACTATAATAAAAATATATAAAATTAAAATATAACTGAGTTTACTAATATACCAAATTTGACGCCACTTTTAG